TTCTTTGGGTTTTCTTCGTCATGATGTTATGGATTGCGTTCTTCTTGCTTTATTTTTTGTCCCTGTTTTTTCTTTGCTCTTTTGCCACTTCGCACTTTGCTACTTGATCTTGCTATTTTGGTTTGTCCCCTCTCTCTCTCTCTTTTGGGGGGTTTTCCCCATTTATTGGGATGGATTGATTTCTTTGATCTTGATCCATTTTTTACCTTTTTGGCTTGTTTTGCACGTCTCTTTGAAGATATCCCAAACCTCTTTTTTTGTTGTTGTTGTTGTCTTATCCCATGTTAGCTTAGCTTAGCTGCACTTTTGTTAGCGAATATCGAACTATCGTTATCGCCATTATTGGTTTATTCGCTCACTTGAAAACCCATTTTCTAAAGATAGAAAAGTTTAGTGTGATAAGAAAGTTGATTTTTAGTAGGTGAAGACGAAGAGCTGCTACCTAACAGGCTAGCTACGGACAAGAGAGGCAAGGGAAATAGAGTAGAATACACACGTAGGGTACAGTATGCTCTCAAATAACCAATGCCTGTGCCACTTGCTTCGCGGATTGGGTCTCACTCCTATTCCAAAGCTCCTGATGCGTGTAGAACCTCCCATTCTCAGGTGGTGGTCTCTTCAGCTGACCTCTTGCCGCTAACCGCCTGCTGCTCGATAGTGTCTCATGTAGCTCGGCAGAAGCGTCGTCGTTTTCGCCACTTGGCAGATTGAGTGGGCGACCCCATGCCGCTTGTGCACTTTCCAACCCACTGCTTGCACGAATTGTACGTATGACGGCTAAAGAGGCGATGAGATTGGCTTTCAGCATCGCTATTTGGAATACAGTGAGGGCCAGCTGCAGGCTGCTAATGGCGTTACTGACGGGAGCGTTCATTTCCCGGTGGAACATGCGTCCGAGTGCCGTTAGGTTGTTGCTCAAGTTGGGAATTGACTGGACGTATTCGAGGTATGGGTTTGTAAGATCGTTTGTTACGTTGCCGAATGTGAGTGTTGCAGTGGGAAAGACGGTTGGAGAGACTCCACTCGCGTTCAGGGAGAGTGTAGGTGTGGTTGTGTTTGAAGGTGACGTAGAGTTGATGGCAACAGAGACATTGACCGTATTTACAGCAGTGAGCCATTCAGTCTGGAGTTCTGGTCGTCAACTTCGAATTCATATCGAGACATGAAAGGTATGGTGAAAAACACACCTTGTTTGTATCAAGCTGATATTTTCCTCTCAGGATAGTGCTGGTGATGTTGTTCACAAGATCGGCAGTGCCCATTGAGCTACTGTCGATCATGCTGCTGAAACCGAAGCCAGAGACTGCGTTGTTGGGGTCCCCGATAGAATTCGCCGCCGCATTGATGAGGCTCCTCAAATCAGCGAGGTCCTGTACAGCCGGTGCGACAGCTGCCGCAGCGATTGGAATGAGGACGAGGCCGGTTACCAGCATAGTGTATAGTTCGTCGGATAGGCAAGCAGGGGGAAATTTGCCAAGTTATCAATGCAGTTAGCAAGTATCGACACTGACAACTGCTAGGTGGAAAGGTTGAGAGAAGAATAAGGAAAATCGCCACAAGCTAAGTGTTGCTTGTAGTGTGTTGTGGATGACGGTAAGACAATCAGAAGCTACGCAGCGCAGAATATATTGCATAGCTTGTTTAGCCATCTAGTCGATGGAAGCCACGATGATCACTGTAAACACAGACAGAATAAGGATAGCCGTTTCGTGCTTGCCGCATCAGTACACATTCAGAGATTCCTATTTCCTACCTGTTGCTCCTCCCTTGCATTTTACCTCTAGAGTCAACATTTTGTACTCACTCTCTATTTTTAAACAACACATTAGTCCCACTTGTATCTCCAACGTCTATTCTCTTTATCCCTGCATTTCTGCCACCGTCTCCACTTTGGCCACCACCCATGATCTGTGCAGATAAAGTTGGACGAGGAAGGCTCGAGCTCCAAAGAACAGCTGGCTTGTGCGAGGACAGTGCGTTTCTTTGCTCCAGTAGTAGCTTCCTATCTACGTTCAGCTATCTGACTTGGCGCAAACAAATTGAGTTTTTGAATTAGCATTCGTCAAAATCAAGTCAGGGCATGACCATAGCGCATATGTCAGATGTAATGTAGACTGCTTAATCCATGCCGAATTCCGGTTGTTGAGTATTGCAACTGTGCTCCACCAAAGATAGTACCTGGTAAAAGGTAATTGAGCATAGACATGGTTGGTGTCAAAGCTTGACTTTACCCCCCGGACGTTATTATTGAACTATAACACACGCGCACTGACCGAACTTTGAGTAGATACCTTTCGACTACCATATTGGGTGGAGCATTTTGTAGTGATTGTTCATCATCAAATATTGAATGCATATACTATATGGCTCTTATTTTGCAAGCAAATTGATACAGAAACGTTACGTACTTGAAAACAACCCAAAGATGAGAGAATAACCTGTAATATTCCCAAAATACTATTTCCATGCCAGTGCACAAAATTTTGAATACGTGGTCTGTCAAAACTGCTCGAGAATTTTGCTTGTTCAGCGAAAATGACCAGAATCACGGATCCTGGCCGTCAACCTATCCAAAGTGTCCGTTTCCCAGCAGACGGCGGTATACCGTAGCTATGCAGTACAAACAGATGACCATACAATTTTCCAATTCTGACCCTTATCCACTCCAGATTGTCTCTCACCCATGACATGCAATGATCGCCATGAGCAGCCGGTATATTCGTCAAGTTTACAAATTTCGACGTCTCAGGACTAGAGATCCATGCTATCATTTCTAGATCGCGAATCGCCATTGGCCTTCTCATATGCTCTCCACCACAGCGCCATGTTGGCTGCTACTAGCAAGTCCATCATTTTCAGGCCTTCATCCTCGAGAATAATCTTTCCAAGTTTTGCTTGCTTGCCACCCATACCTCCTCCTGCAAACTCCTGTCCAAGAGAGAGATCCATGCGGTCTTCATTGTTTTCATCTACATTAATAGATGTTGTAGAGTTGTTGCGAGAATGGCGACCTCGGCGAAAGAAGGAAGACCGCTTAGATGCTTCAACTCCTCTAGCCGCGGATCTCTTTGGGCCACTGGGGAGGTTAAACCTGAGCTCGCTCAAGCTTGCACTTGAAATTGATGCTCCTTGAAGTCCTGGAATAAGATGGCGACACTAGTATAACGATTAGCCTCTTTGGTATCAATGTGACAGAGCTGGCATAGCTACCTTCAGAGATCCTCCACCCACACCAGTAATAAACTCACAGCGCCCATTCCATGGACTTGTGAAGACATAGCCACGAAAACTTGTTTGTCTTTCAGAAACCTGAATGCTGCCGTGTGTCTGATCGTCATGTGCCTGGAATGAAGGTGAGAGCGGAGAGCGTAGGTCCATCGACGGTCTCTCAGCCTGTCCAGTATAGCTACCTTTGGAACTGGGCCGAGCGTAATTGGCGTCGTAAGAGCTATTCTTCCTATGTCCAAATGCATGGCCCAAGTGCTGTGAGCCTTCCAGCCAGATACGTCGACGGAATACATTATCACTCGCGGCCTGGCCCCCTGTTTGCGATTCCACTGTACCAGAATGTCCCGTTTGCCATGACTGAGTAGAGAAGCCACTGTCTCGGCTCACCAAAGGTGGCTGGGGTTTGTCGGAGGATTCCAAGTGAAGGAATTTAGAGTATCCAGGATTGAACACCTGGATGTACATCGGCGCCCCGGACTTTTTCTTGTTAGTGGGATTTCTCAAAGCTGAAGATGAAATCTCAACGATAGGAGGATCCTCGATACGGGCAACATTCCATTGAGCGCCAGATGCCGGGTCTCTCCGGATGAGCGTGAGTGATGGGGGTTCACGTGGTGGGTTCTCTGATCGCCGACGTGGCAGCGGCGGTGGCCTCTCGTTTTCCTGTTGGTGTTGGGTCGAGTCAAATGAACGCCGCGGATTGCTGTAGTCTGGCGCATGTACCCCTTGTCTTTGCGAAAAGTTTCCGGCGCTGATATTGTGGCTATTTGAGTAATTATCAATAGGAGCTAGGGTTCCTGGCACGGGTTTTCGCATTGGAGGAACAGCATTGGAAGTTCCTGGAACCGCTTTCCGCGGAACCAGCGGGGCAGATGATAGATTTTGGCCTACAGCATCAGGACCCCTCAGCTCTGGAGGATCGACGAGGTAAGCGTCCTCGGGCTGGTTGACGTGGACATAGTACAATGAGCTTTGGATGTCTTCTGCTGTCACTACCTTCTCGCGTGGTTTCATAGGTGAAAGAAAAACATCTGGAGATGTCAGGATACGTTTGACTTGTGAAATTGGGCGATCGTACCTCTGCTACCAGGAACACGCGCGATGTACAGTACTAGCGGATCATGCCTAAAATGTGTCGGATTCCTTGGGTAAGATGGTGGGTTAAAGGCAAGTGCTGTAAGTGAAGAGAGTGACTTTGCTTCGACAACGGGCGTAGCCATGAGAGCGAAAGAGGCGGGCACTGGTGACGGGGAAGGAGAGTGTGCGACAGTGGCTTTGAGGGTGTCGCCGCGTGCCACAAGGACTGTTATTGCAGTCCTGGGCAGCGTTGCCTAGGATATATGTGACAAGCAGTCAACGCTCAGGTTTGTGCTTGCCCCCGTGTGGCTGTGCGGCCGCGTCTCCCCGCTAAGGACATCAGTCTTATATGTGCGTATAGTTGGAGCAGAAGCGCCGCCGTCTTGGCCTATTGCTGCGCAGGGCGACTGACAGGTGGATCGGGCTGACGCGCATCAATCCGCAGGGCTCTGCTGGCGATGCTGGTGGTGAAGGAGCCTGTAGCCATGAGCACGCGAGGTTATTTCTGGTTAGGCCTGGCTCGCGGCCGCTGATTGGCCCTTGAAACCAAGGGTCCAAGCGCGGAAAGTGTCTGCGAAATCTTGGCTTCCATGCATTCAAACCTCGATTTTCGCGGCCCGCACACGACACACTCGCCCCGCCCAATACATGCCCACCCGCTTTGCTGATACTCGCGCGCATCTAGCTGATACAAGATGGGGGACAATCTCGAGGTATGTGGCGACAGTATTGCCTATCTATCGTTCTTGCCGCTGACCGGAAGCTGTAGGAGCGATTGAAGAGCCACGCGCGGGCATTCGAAGGGCTCATGTCCTTGATACCCGCAAAGGAATACTACGGAAAGGACGAGAGTATCACCAGCGTATGCACCTCTGCCTTCCTGCGCCCCCGCCCCGTGCTGATATGATGTCTGCAGACGCAATGGCAAAAGAGAGGAAAGAAGCAAACCCTCGAAGAACGACAGGCTGCCAAGCGTGCGAAGCTGGATCCTGCCTCCCACAAAAGCGCCAAAGATGTCATGGATGAGAACGCGCTGAAGCGGAAACGTGAGTTGGAGGGTGATGCCGACACGGAGGTTTCCGAGGCCGAGTCGTCCGATCTTGACATGGACATCACAAAGGAGAGGCCCCTAGAGGGAATCAAAAGCAAAGCAAAGAAGCAGAAAACTCAGCCTGTCGAGTCAGAAGATAACAACGACGAGACTGCCGAGACACGGGCCTTGTCAAAATCTGAAGCCAAAGCTGCGGCTAAGGCAGAGAAGCGGAGAGAGAAGAGAAAGGAGAAGCAGGAGAAGAACAAGCAGAAGTTGGAGGCAAAGAAGAACAAAAAAACAGCGTTCGAAGGCCTCGTCGCCACCAAAGAGGCCAAGGAGGACCAGGACCACGACGACGCCGAGGAAGAAGAGGATGATGACAACGCGGCTGCTGACGACTTTGAAAATGAAGACGACGAAATCGAAGCACTGGACGTCAGCGGTCTTGTCGAAGAGGGTCAGTCTACAGCTCCATCCACTGCTGCCAATTCCAACTCCTCCACTGCTTCTGTCGCCTCGGCCAGCTCATCAGCATCGTCGATACCCCAATCAACTGAAGAGGCGTCGCAAAAGAAAGCCAAGAAGCCTTACACCATTGATCCAAAAAGTCATGAAAACTTCCGCGCGCGATTGAATGCAAAGCTAGAAGCCATGCGCGCGGCACGGAAGGCTGACGGTCCGGACGGACGGCCTGCCCGGAACCGAGCGGAGCTCATTGAAGCACGGCGGAAGAAGGAGGCCGAGCGAAAAGCTGCTAAGAAAGCTCTTCGTCAAGAAGCAAAGGATGATGAAGCTCGCCGGCAAGCAGAAGAACAATTAGCACGCATAAGAGGCGGCTCGGGCTCCCCTTCTATCTTCCCGGCCAGATCACCAGAGGTTGAACGTAACTTCAATTTCGGCAATGTTGCTTGGGACGGGCAACACCTGGACCCAAATCTTTCTGGATTCTTGCAGTCAAGAAAAAAGAAGGGCAAGTCAGACAGCAAGACAGCCCTTGAAGCTGCACAGAAGAAGCAAGCCCGTATTAATGCGCTTGATGAGGATAAGCGTAAGGACATCCAAGAGAAGGAGCTATGGCTCGCTGCAAAGAAGAGAGCACAAGGAGAAAAGGTATTCGACGATGTAGGCCTTCTCAAGAAGAGTCTGAAGCGCCAGCAAAAACAAAAGGATAAGAGTACGCAGGAATGGAAAGAAAGGATTACCAATGTGGAGCAAGGCAAGGCGGCGAAGCAGAAGAAGCGTGAGGAGAACCTCAAGAAGCGTAGGGAGGAGAAGGGACAGAAGAAGGGGAAAAAGAAGGTCAAGAAGCCTGGCAAGAAAGTCAAGCGGCCAGGCTTTGAGGGCACCATGAAGGCACGATAGGCACTAGGTTGTACGAATATTGGTCAAGGACGGGAGGCATCGGTAAAAAAAAGGAGGCGGTAACGTGCGTGCTATCTAGGGAGCATTTTGGCGTTTGATACCATATCATGGAGTCTGCGGTCTTGAATATTACAATGCTTTCTACGAGAACTTTGTTTTGCGGTTCATGTGCTAGCTCTCTCTATCAAAGAAAAAATGGTATACCGATTGCTCTCTCCATAACCGGCAACGCAACCTGTACATTTGCTCCACGTAAAACCTGTGATTAGGTCATTGTATATGTCAAGGGCGGTTCTTTGAGTATACTGATGATGCATTGACAAAAGGAACCCAACGCTTGGTGTTGTCGAGTAGAACCGCTCCTATAATATTTACAACAATGTCACAAGGTTCAGAACTCCCCTTATCTGTAAGGTGCATCGGCACGAGCAGCCGCAGCAATCTCGGGCTCCCACTTGTCTCCGTTTGCCAGCAACTTCTCCTTGTTGTACAGAAGCTCCTCACGCGTCTCGGTGGCGTACTCAGCATTGGGACCTAAGGTTCGTCAGTATTTGTTCTGTAATCTTGCAATTCACCGCAAACATACCTTCGACAATGGCATCAACAGGGCAGCTCTCCTGGCACAGACCGCAGTAGATGCACTTTGTCATATCAATGTCGTAGCGCGTAGTCCTCCTGCTACCGTCCATGCGCTCCTCAGCCTCGATTGTGATGGCCTGCGCAGGGCAAATGGCCTCGCAGAGCTTGCAAGCAATGCAACGCTCCTCACCCGTGGGGTACCGTCGCAGAGCGTGCTCGCCTCGGAAGCGGGGTGAGATGGGGCCCTTCTCGAAAGGGTAGAAGATGGTGTATCTTCCGAAACAGTCAGATTTCCACCGGTCAAAGACTACAGACTCGCTCATAGCTCGCCGTCAGAGGGGCTTACTTACGCCGGTCGGAAAAACTGCTCGAGCGAGACATACATGCCACGGAACATCTCGATGAGCAAGAAGTACTTGCCGGCGCGGTCCAATGCGCCTTCGCCTTCATCCCATCGCTTGGGTTTCGGTAACCGGAAGCCTGGTGGCGGGGGTCCTGCTGGGGTGGCGGCACGGGGGAGGGTGGTAGAGAAGAAGACGACTGTGGCAGGCGAGGGGAGGCGTCCGGACGCGAAGTGTGGTGAGCGGAGCAGTGTGGCAGCTGGGCGGCTGCGTGCCAACATTGTCAATGGCTTTGCGCTGGCCATTGTGAACGTGGATGGGGTCGTGGGCGAGCCGTGGGTTGCTGTCGAATGCGGAGAGGTTGTCGCCAAGTTCGAAACTTGAGGTTGGTCGCTTGTAACGCCGAAGCTGCGATTGGCCAAGAACAGCAATGACGGCAACGAGGACTGGGAGGCAACTCTAAGGTCTGAGGTGTGCACTAGACAATACTCCAGACTCTACCTATCTGATTCTTGCTTTTTTGAAAAACACCATTAGTGTTGTTGTTTGTTGTTTTGGAGGTCTGTTTGATTGATGCTGCCAACGGCTTCCTGACGGCTGACTAACGTAATGTAACTTTAGTCTGAAGTTCTAAACTCTAGTCGAGCGCCGCCATCACCACCCTCCACCGACCTCGCTATCTCGCCAACGGCACTCTGCAAATCGCTCAACATGTTCCGAACAGCACTCCTCAGGTCCGCAAGGTCCGCTGTCCGCGCCGCACCACGATGCCAGACCGCAATGGCTCGCCCCGTTGCGCGAAGCTCCTTCGTTCAGCCAAAGCAAATCACCCCCTCCGTATACTTCCAGGCCGTACGATGCTACGCTGCGAGCGCTGGTCTGTCACGGGACGAGGTCACTGGCAGGATAATGGACCTGCTGAAGAACTTTGACAAGGTAATGGGAATGCGCTCGAATTTTGGGCTCGTCACTAACGCAATCGCAGGTCAATGACACCTCAAAGGTAGCTTTCCCACTTTGCATGGCCATTTTGCAGAGCGAATACTTATTTTTGCACAGCTCAATGCCGAGTCCCACTTCCACAACGACCTTGGTCTGGACAGCCTGGATACCGTAGAAGTAGTCATGGCAATTGAGGAGGTTAGTCGCAATGCGGGCTGCGTGCGAAAGAGCAAGCTGACAGTGGAGTAGGAATTCAGCATTGAGATCCCCGACAAGGAAGCCGATGCCATTCACAGCGGTACGTATTTCGAGGAATGTTGGAAGGATTTGGCATACTCATGATATCACAGTCAAGCAAGCAGTGGAGTACATCCTTGCCCAGCCCGATGGTGAGTGGCAATTTGGTACGCATCCCGTGGATTGTATGCTAACTTTGTGGTAGCGCACTAGATGATATCCAAGAAGCTGGGTACTGAGTCGGGGAAGATGGACGTGGACTTGGTGGTCGGTTCTACCGGCATTGCTATATATATGCCTCCTTGTAAAACAGTCGCCGGGGTCGGCAAAGTGTACTTCTGATAGAATTGACGCTATCCACCTCCTGATGTTATGACTACTTGCCTATTTGTGGTGCCTAGAGGGCGGGTTACCAGAGGATGGAGGCGTGTGTAACTATTCTTGGCACGCGAGACCCGGGCCTCGTCCGCTGATTACTGTGACACGAGAACCAACCCCAACTCACGGCTTGCACAAGCGGCCTGCGATCGACCCCTTTGGACTGTCTGCATTGCATTGTAGTGGCCGGCGACTTTGGCACCCACAGTCCTCTTACACCGAAAGTCCCACAAAATCCGATACCGCGCATGCGCTGCCCAAGCGTCCTCATCCCTGCGTCCGTCGAGGAGCATCACCCATAATTTCCACCAGAACCCCCCACTAGTTCCACCAACACCACACCCCGATGGCTTCGAGCTCTGGTCTGACGCGCCGGAGAGGAGGCGGCGGTGGCGCCACAGGCAACGGCGAAGACGAGAGCAGCCGGGTCAGTTCGCCAGCACCAAAGCGCATCGACGATCGCACCCCCGAAACGTCCTACGAGAGCTCGGAGAATGGGCACAAGATTGCATTCGACCCGCGCGACATTAGCGAGAATGTGGAAAGAAGCAAACAGCCCAAGCTGACGCTGATGGAGGAAATTATCCTCATGGGGCTCAAGGACAAGCAGGTGGGTTGATTGCACATGGAAGGGTTGGCAAAGGGGGCAAGGCTGATGCACGAGAATAGGGATACCTTTCCTTCTGGAACGACAACATTTCGTATGCGTTGCGAGGATGCATCGTCATAGAATTGGCATTCCGAGGCCGGGTGAGCATGCAAAAGGACTCATCGCGACGACGGTTCCCGCTTGCAGACCGGGTTATTGAGGTGATTGACGACACGTTGACGGGCGAGGTCCTGTTGGACGAAGCCCTCAAGATGATGAAGTCAAGCGAGAAGATGAGTGTCAACTCATGGATTGATCTCATGAGCGGTACGTTGGGCAGCACACACGCTAGCGAAGTCGGTGTTCCAAGATACTGACTATGGGTGCATATAGGAGAGACATGGAATCTGATGAAGATTGGCTACCAATTGAAGCAAGTACGCGAGCGACTATGTAAAGGGCTTGTGGACAAGGGCATTCTGCGCACGGAAAAGAAGAACTTCCTGCTCTTCGACATGGCCACACATCCCGTCGCCGACGGCGGCGCAAAAGAGGAGATTCGACGCCGGGTCCGCAACGTTCTTACCAACCGCACCGTCGTCTTGCCAGGTAGCCAATTCCTTCCCGAAGAACTGGAGTTTAGGGTTTTGCGAACAATCACCATGGTCTGTGCAGCTTATGCAGCAAACGTGCTCGAGAACGCCTTGACGACGCTGGGACATGAGGCTCGGGAGCGAGCATTTGCCCAGGTGGACGAGCTCTTGGCAGAATACTCGCAGTGGCCTTTTGCAAAGCGGCAGGGCGGGTCACAGGGTATAGGTGCCAACTTGGGCCAACTTGTCACGGACGAGGTGAATGGGTCCAAGGATAAGGAGCTTCAGCTCGAGGTAAGTGTGCATGATTTCGGCATAGTAGTGGATGTAAGTGCTAATCAGTGGGCTACAGGTGGTTGCTGCGTGTTTGAGTGTTTTCACGAGGCTCGACTCACTACTCTGAGGGGGCATGGCATGTTACGTTCAACAATGTTGGGTGCACTGCAGGTAGGCGCAAGACCTCGGGGGCCAGCGAGGCATGGCGTTGGAGGCATCTGCCAGTAGTATATCAGGAACATGTAGCCGGTGGGCCGGTAGGCTGGCAAGTATAAGGCCTTGTCCGTCCTTAGCGTTGATGCAGCAGCTGAGCGATCAGGAGGTAGCAGCACCGGCCGCGTCGTCTACTTTTTTTTTTACCATTACTTCGACTTTCGGCCTCGACTTTGACTTGTACTTGGCGGTTCCTTAGACAAAATACAATATTTATTCTATACTGGACAAGGCCGAGCATTAGTGTACACGGTGGCTTTTGTCGAGCACGCAAGCAGGCAGGCTTATGCACCACTCTAGGATGCGGACTCGGAATGTACCCACCATGGCGCAGCACGTGACGAGCGCGTGGAGTCGACGGGTAGTATGCGGGCGTGTGCACCCAGGTGTAGTCGTACGGGAGAAGGGCGAGGGAGGAATAAGAGGAGGGATCTTGACTCGTTTCCCCAGAGATACTACACACAACCACCGCCGGTGGGCGGCGGGAGAGGGTGGTGTACAGTGTGGGCGTAGTCACTGTGGGATGGGTTGTGTGGCTCGGCGCTTGCAAGCGGCAACGCAAACCCATCAGCGCCCTGCCTGACACACAACTCATCATCCCGAGCTTATCCACGCCCGCGACCCCTCACTAACTAAGGTACCGCAGCCAGGTGTTTCGCCGATTTAGGATTCTGCCAATACTCCGGGCCTGCCAGAGCCTTGCGGACCGCCGCTGCGCGCTCGACTACCCGATCGGCATTTCCTGCCCTGCACAGCCAAACAGATAGGCCCAGCCAGCCCGGTGACCAGTGACGACGCGCAAATTGCATGCTCCCAGAGGTATGTTTGAGTGCGTGTTTTTATCTCCCCGCTGTCGAGTAGCGCCATGTCGTCTCTGTGAGGATTTGCGTGTGTCTGTGTCGCGTTGGCGATGGCGGGCGAGGGCAGCGGCATTGGCCCTGGCGGCGCTGTTGTTGCTGCGTCGCTCTCCCGCCCCCTTCTTGGGCCAGTCGCGACCGCCTGCGACGCCCACCGACCACCGACCCACCCAGACGTCGACGCATCTATCCATCACTCCTGCCCACGTGTATGTCGCGGCTCTAACCAGGGCAGCTTCACGCAGGTCGCTCCTGCTGCGCGCAATAGACTCTCCCCCGCCATGCTGTCTCCGCCCACAGCCGACTCCCAGACGCTCGACTCGTCCACCGCCCAGCAGCAACAGCACGGCGCGTCCACCACTTCCTCCTCCTCCACCACCACCACCAACGGCACCTCGGGCGACGGCGCCGTTCAGCCTCCCAACGCCCCTCCTCCCAGCATCAATGGAGCAGACATCGCGTCCGCCGAGAACAACGCGATCCGAGACGGAAAACAAAAGGCCAAGGCCGTCATGGCCGCCTCTGGCCTCAACCTGACGCCCACCCACGGCGACACGGCATCGCCAGCACATACCGACGCCATCAACGGCGCGTCGCCCAGTCGAAAGCGATCGCGTTCAGGCACCCGCAAGTCGTCGCGCACACCCTCGCACGATGACGGGGCGCAACCCACGGCCTTGCAGAAACAGCTTCTCGATCGCTACATTGCGCGCGACCTGCTTGACAGCGTCAACAAGTACGAACGCAACAAGCATTCCGAGAAGGTATACGGCCAACTAAACGACCTGCGTCACTTTTACCGCGACGAAGTCTATCCTGTGCGCCGCCAAAACCCCGGCGCAATTTTTGGCTATGGCTATGCCGGCTATGGCAACGGCGTGACTGACATTCCCCCGGACCCCAGAGATCCCCGCGCTCTCCCGCAAACAAAATTGCTATATCCCGAACATGCCAAGCGCGCTGGCCGTCGGCTCGCGCCGCAATTGAAGATCCCGAGAGACAAGATAGCGCAGCAGGCGGAGCAGATTGAAGAGCTGGTGCCTGTGCGTCTGGACATTGAACTGGACAGATTGAAGCTCCGAGACACGTTTACCTGGAACCTGCACGACCGCGTCACAAACCCCCTCTTGTTCGCCCAGACGCTCGTTGAAGACTTCCAGATACCACCTGAGCTGCGCCAGAATGTAATGCAGCAGATTGATCGCGAGATCCACGAACAGGTCCAGGACTACTACCCTCATGCCTTCTTTGACGACGAGCCATTGGACCCCCACCTACCATACTCCGCATATAAGAACGACGAGATGCGGATATCAATCAAGTTGAACATCACCATTGGCCAGCACACTCTCATGGACCAATTCGAATGGGAAATCAACAACCCGCTGAATGCACCTGAGGAGTTTGCAAGACAGATGGCTGCGGACCTGTCCCTGTCCGGAGAGTTCACCACCGCCATTGCTCATTCCATAAGGGAACAATGTCAAATGTTTACAAAGAGTCTATACATTACAGGGCATCCCTTCGATGGGCGCCCTGTGGAGGATGCTGACATTCAGGACAACTTCTTGCCTTCTCCACTCCCCTCCGTCTTCCGCCCAATGCAGGCAACCAAGGACTACCAACCCTACCTGTACGAGCTGAGCAATGCAGACCTGGAGCGCGCCGAGCTCTCCATTATGCGCGAGCAGCGACGCCAGAAACGATCAGTCAATCGCCGCGGTGGCCCGGCACTACCAGATCTCAAGGATCGACAACGGACTGTACGCACACTGGTTGTTTCGTCGGTTCTACCAGGAGCTGCAGAGACCATCGAAGAAAGCCAGCTTTTCAAGGCGACAAGGAAAGCTAGGGAAGGCCGTCGTCGCGCTGAAGGCAGTTCAGACGAGTCTGATAGCGATGAGTCTGTGCTGGAATCACCTGCTCCCGCGCAGTTGACTGGAGGTACTGCCCGAACTCGTGGTATGCGTGGAGCAGCTACCGCCGCTCAAGCCGCCATGCGTTCGGCCATTGGCCGATCAGCAACACCTGAAGTGTCCACTCTCCAGCCTCATCATGAGCCGCGGACAGCCAGATCGCTCAGATATGAAACACGCGAGGAGAGCGTGTCTGAATCGACTTCACTCATAGTCAAACTTCGCATCTCATCGGCCAAGTTGAAAGAGTGGCAGGCCAATCCAAAAGCATTCGCAAAGCCTGCTTCCACCCCAATGATGGCACCATCGCAAACGCCGGCACGAAATACACCTACTGCAAACTCAATGCCTCCACCACCATCACCATCACCGGCTTTGCCTTCTCGCTCTACTCCGACAGCGCCTCCATCTGTCGAAGCATCACCCCGCCTGTCCACAACTTCCACACCAGCTGCTTCGAATGAGCAACGACAATACAGACCAGATGGCTCAATGGAAGCACCTTGGCCTGCGCCTCCTGTCTCACAACATGTAAGATGATCCCCCATGGCAATGTGGAAACCGTTCTGACTTTGACAAGCCTCCCCCACCTCCGTGGCTCCAACAAGGATTGCAGGATCTCCGTGACCGAAATCCCGGTGAACTCTTCGAATCCACCATGCGTTATGCAGTCATGAACGAGGCCGCGGAAGATCCCAAGACCGGCGCCGTTGCTCCCAAGCAAGTTCGGATAGATACACTTGCCCCAGGTGCACCACTGCCTGCGAACCACAAAGCATACTTCCTACCTCGGATTCGATGCATGGATTGCCCTGGAAAGCTGTACAATGCAGGTCCCGAGCAGACAGTCAACAATTTCGAACTCCATCTGAAGAATCGGGCGCATACGGAGAACGTACGAAAACGAACTGGTCAATGATTGGTTATAGGAATGGAAAACAATTGCGAACGTGCATTCAACCTCGCGATTTAGGCAGGTCATTTTTTAGAGGGTGCATCATTTTGTCCATAAGCGAGCGCATTCAGGGTATACAGTTCCATGTACAAATAGCAGCTCGGATTAGGAGCATGTGGAGTTGCACATGCAGACCGCGTGCTGTTGCTTAGGCGTTCTTATTTGCTGGCTAAAAGACCTGGAAAACCGTAGCCCCCACGTTGGATCACTTCTGTACGGCGGACGTCATTGTTGAACCTGGTCTTTTTTCTCCAAGACTATTGCTGCGTTATCTTGCTACTTGGCTTTGTTCCTAGTGGAACTGGTGGTTGTATAAGTAGGGTTGATAATTTTCGACGTAGCGATAGAGGTAGACGCAATCGCATACTTATCTGCATCACGGAATCTTGGTCAAGCATTTGTGGTGTGTTTTGCTCGCTCCCAAATACCCTACGGCTTGGTCAAATTGCAACGCGGTGCGCTGGGTTTCAGCTAAGACAAGGTGCCTTGCCGAAACGTCATGATGCTGAGAGCAACCATCTTCCTCACCACTCTACTCACCTTTATCATGAAAGTCAACACCGCGTCGCTTCCCATCCGGATTCTTACCCATAACATCCGCTATGCAGCTAATCCGCCTTCAACAGGCGAGAAACCATGGTCTACTCGTCGCCAACTAATCCTCAATGAGCTGCACTACAATACTCTGCACAACCCCGAAGCCTTTATATGTCTGCAAGAAGTTCTCAACTCACAACTCACTGACATCATATCTGGTCTCGGCGACGAATGGGCATATATCGGCGTCGGCCGAGACGATGGCAAAACCAAGGGCGAGTACAGCCCCGTCATTTACCGAAAAACAGTCTGGAAGCTACTCGAATGGCAGACTGTCTGGCTCAACGAAGATGGGGCTGTAGGGAAAAAAGGATGGGATGCAGGCTCCATCCGCATCATCACGATTGGTACCTTCAAACACATTCAACGCAAGAAGACACTCGTCGCAATGAGCACGCATCTGGACAATGCTGGTCCCGTTTCCCGCCGCGAGTCTGCAAAGATTATTCAAAACGTTACAGCTCAAGTCACCGCGCCTGCGAATAGTTCTTCGAGCGCTCTGCCCTTCTTCCTCGGGGGTGATCTTAATTCTGAGACGGACGGTGAGGCGTATAGGATTCTAAATGCTGAGGAGTCTATCTTGCAGGACACGAGGGAGCAGGCGAGATGGGTGTATGGGCATGAGATTACGTTTACGGGGTTTCAGGATGAAGGGAAGGAGGTGATTGATTTTGTGTTTGTGGGGCCGAGAGGGCGAGGGGACTGGGTGGTTGAGGGGTCGAGTGTGTTGGCGACTCGGTTTGATGACGGGGTGTTTAGTAGTGATCACAGGGCGGTTGTGGTGGATGGGTTGCTGGAGGTTTGATTATAGCCTCGAGTAGTCCAAAGCAAATAGTCCCTTGGAATTGCAAAATAGCACCCTAATATTTTCGGTCTACAGGAGTGAGAAAAATGCCATCGCTTTCTACTGCTAGCAGCTCATGCCTCATCCAAGCAGCCTGTACTTACGTGACATGACAACGAGCGGTGCAGATGGACTGAAGCTAAAAAGCAATGCGATCATGTGAGATGCAATTCTCAATCACACTCATGTCACCCACACAGATTCGCATGCGGAGCGGAACGATGGATCCACGGTTGACAAAGGATCAAGGCACAAGTGACGTTGTCAGGCGATCGTCGTCATTGGGCTGTGGCTAAGCGAAAGCATCGAAAGCACCCCACTGAGGGGCTTGCTCTAAACACAGGAACGACCTTGCGCACCACTCCAATTCTAGCTCCTGGACCATCTTTCCACTCCTCCACTACATATACTCAAGATGGCCACTGAAACAGCAGCTGTTGGTAAGCTCACCACGCAGCCCCTGCCTGTACCGGCATCACATGAAGCTATGCACAAAGAAATAGCTCCATGAGATGAGACCTGGGCCTCGCTAAATGGTCGCAGAAGCTAACAGCACACGACAGACTACTCTCTGGCGAACCCAGATACTATCACCAAGTACAAGGTCGCCGCCGACATATCTCAAAGAGTCCTCAAGGAGGTCTCAGGTACGTTGGCCCCGCACCCCTCCGCTTACTGCCGATTTCCAGGCACGAGACTCGAGTTGACCCATGGCTAGGATGGATCGCCGCTGACGCTAACATTGTCGAGCTCTGCGAGCGCGGCGACAAGCTCCTGGAGGAGGAGGTCGGCAAGGTCTACAAGGGCAAGAAGGTCCAGAAGGGCATTGGACACTGCACCACCATCTCACCGAGCGCCTACATCACTCCCTACACGCCCCTCAAGTCCGATACCGAGGAGGCTGCAACAACACTGAAGGAAGGAGAAGTCGTCAAGATTCAGTTGGGCGCTCAGATCGATGGTTTCTGTACCATTGTTTGCGACAATGTCATTGTCGGTAACACTGGCGAGGTCACCGGACGCGAAGCTGATCTTATTTTGGCTACACACTACGCAAACGAGCTTCTCTTGAGGTTGATGGTACCCCCAAGCCTACTTCCCTACAGCGATGAGGAGGAGCAAAAGAAGGCAGCCACCAAGAAGCCCTACACACAGAGTCAGATGACCAACATGCTCGAGAAGGTCGTCAAGGCTTACGACTGCAACCTCGTCGAGAGCACCACTATCTGGCTCTTTGACCACAACGAGATTGAGTCCAAGAAGAAGATTATCCTTGCTCCTGGTGAGGGTGTCAGGGGTGAGGGTCTGCCCGAAGCCGGCGAAGTTTGGGGTGTCGAGATGGGTGTCAGTCTGGGAAGCGGCAAGGTCAAGAACAACAGCAACAGGACTACTCTGCACCGCCGCACAGCTACCACCTACCAACTGAAGCGCCCAACTTCCCGAGCACTTCTGTCCGAGGTTGTCAAGAAGTTCGGAACTTTCCCCTTCAGCTTGCGACAGCTTGAGGACGAGAAGGGCGCCAAGGTTGGTGTCGTCGAGTGTGTCCGCACTGGTGTACTTCGCCAGTACGAGGTCGTTGTTGACAAGGACAACCAGCCCGTGGCTAGGTTGTTCTCCACTGTTTGTAAGTTTTCATACCCCATATACCTGCTCTTTAGGCGCGGATCGCAAAATGCTGCTCGACCGTGTTTGTGTGACTCCTTGCTCCGATCATATCACAGCTGGTCAAAGCAGCAGATAGAAGAAAAAATGAATTAACGGCTAACTTTGGAACAGCAATTGGCAAGAACGGCATGCAGCGCCTTGCTCAGCCTACTCCTATTGACGTGTCCAAGTACAAGTCTGATAAGAAGATTGAAGACGAGGAGATCCTCAAGATCCTAGAGCAGCCTATTGGAAAGACTGTGACAAAGAAGAAGAACAACAAGAAGAAGAAGAAGCCTGCGAAGAAGCCTGCCGCTGACGGCGCCGCCGCTGCCGCCGAGGAGGAGAGTGACGACGAAGAGTAAGCGTAGATTGCAGAGATCTACAGGTTTGCTCAATCTTTTCCGAGCCGAATTCGGACGATGTGCCAATTTTTGAGAGCGTAAAAACAGCATCGCAGGGGAGAGACAAGACTGGTACTCCCAAAAAAAAAGGTGTGCCATGTACTGTGGGCAAAGCCCATGATCAAGTAGAAGTGATAGCAACCTCCAAAAGATCAGTCCTCCGGAAAACTACGAGCCTATTATCTGCGTGATCATGCATGTAAGCTTTTGCTGTATATCGTACGATTTCGACACAGATAAGTGCTTAGTAGCTTATTGCTAATTGCCGAATTGAGTCGCGAACGCATACCACACAACGCTCACAACCCAAGGTTGGTTAAGTGTCGGAACCAGATCACACAAGAATTTACAAAACCATGCTAAGGTGGTTTTCTACTAATGGGTAACAGGAGATAGAATACCGAGTCTACATGAAGTATAGCTTCCTGTGGTTATCTAAGCAGAATCGTCTTTGCTTTATTTTCATCACCTGGGCGCCAAGCCAAGCGTGAACGGAAGTCTTTTCTAGCCAAACAATAGTAAGAGATATGCGGATAGCTCGGCTTGCTCTGTTTCGTGTTCGATTGCTCTGAGCTTTTTTTTTCATAGGAGGAGATTAAGTATGAGAACAGAGCCTACCCCTGAATTAAATGTGCACAATAGTTTCTCGCACAATAGATATGAGCACGAGTTTCGTACTTGCTGTAACGTTTAGAAGGCCATGACAGAATACGCATTTGGAAACTCACGTGGTGTGGTGTTAGTCGGTGAAAGTGAGAGGAGGATCTGACGGAAAAAGCGGAGGTTGGGTGACTTGCCGTGTCCCTCACAGTCTTTGTGAAGTGTTATTCTCCCATCATACTAATGCTAGGTGGTGAAACAGAAGATTTCTTCTTCACCATTCCACCTATTGATACTAGATCAAATTTCAAGTGTCTGCCAGGTGCTGCGATATTGGTGAATGTGTAGGGGGCTGACATAATAAGAAGGCCCGTCCAAGCGTCCAGGGCACTCTCGAATAGCCTTGATCGCTTTCATTCTTGCACGACCGACCCACCAACACCGGGCTCGGCATTGGGGCGTGTAAAATTCCCGGATAGCACGCGAAGTGAGAACAGAGATTTGTTAATCAAATACAGCGCGCTGACCAAGTTCCAGTTTCGCCATGCCGGCCCTCCGCAAGTCTGCCCGGGAGCGCGACTTTCGATCGCAACCAAGGTCTAGCACCACGCCCTACGCCTCACCTACTGGCACAACAAACGATCACGTCTACGACAAGAAGCAGCGCTCAATCACCGAGTGGACCGAGCCCCAACCCCAAACTCTTACGCCCTCTTTTGAAGAGCACGGTTTTGCGCGGCACGGCGTCCTTGAGAATATGGCCCCCCTCGGCGTGCCCCCAAAGGCAAAGGACAAGCAGCGCGCGCGCGCTCTCGACGGACCGGCTCCTCGGAACTCATTGCTGGGAAAAGTGAATATTGCGTTTGGCGACGACGCGGGGTCAACTCCAGAAGTTACTCCGGCTCCAGAGCTTGAGCCTGATGATTCAGAGCGGCAAGAAGAGTACGAGATACAGGCCGGCTTTCCTGTTCTCGAGGACGAAGAGGATGACGACTACGAGCCTACCAAGCCGAAGAAGAAGGTGAAGGTGTCGAAAACTCCAGTCAGGGGCAAGACGCCCGTGCAAAGCAAGACGCCTGTCAACGGCAAAACGCCTGTAAAGAACTGTTACAGCAAGAGCACGCCCGTCTCAGGGAGCCCCGCCGTACAGGCGATTTCCATGTCCGAGCCTGTTGCAGCGAGCACACAGCGCATTCAAATCGCTGTCAACGATGCCATTTCAAAGGCCAACAGCAGCAAGGGCAGGCGTTATGTAGGCATCGCCTTGAAGCGCGCCTTTGAACAGAGCAAAAGTGACCCAGAACTAGCCGAGGCCCTAGATGCAGTAATTCACGAGAGGAGCACGCCCAAGCAATATAACCGTTTTCGCAAGTTCATCAAGTCATTCAAGCTTGAAGAAAAAATGAAAATGGGCCTCACTAGAGACAGGCGCTTTGACCAGCCCAACACGGCCAACAACGGTGTTTCATTATCCAGCCAGCCGCCATCCCCTAGGGCTAGCAGTGAAGTTGTTCCCGATGATTCTGTCTCAACCACTGAATCGATGCTGAACGACACGCACAAGGCATTGCAGTCAGCACTGGACCCACATTCTGAAGCTGCGCCCCACCCATTCAGCACAGCGCCTGCTCTGCCAGCAGCAGATACCTATGCAGAATCAACACCAAGGATGCCCTCAAAGTCGCCTCGGAAACGAGCTGCTACCAATGGAAAATCCGCGCCAGATTCTGCTATGGACGTGGATGGTGGTCTCTCGACGACTGTGCCTACTCCGGTAGCAAGGACGCCCGACACTGGTGCAAGCGATTCTGAACTTTCAGAGGTCAATGAAGAGATAGTGCTGAAAGGCCCGCCAGAGCCGGTGCAGGTCAACGGAAAGAGCGCTGCTGCAGCACCAGCCTCAGGACCGAAGAAAGGGAAGAACATCGCCCATGCACGCGCTGCTAAGAAGGCGAAAGCCAATGCGGGAAAACTCTTTGGCAAGCATGCCTACAAGCAGCAGCCACTTACCGCAGAGCAGCAGGCGGAAGACGACCGTCTCTATCAGATGCGCAAATCTATGGTGGAGGAACAGCCTATCCGCCAGTTCGACCAGATCCCCCCTCCAGTCTCTGATGTCCGCTTTGATGACGAAATCCTTGAGACAGAGTCTCTAACAGAATCTCAGATTGCCGTAGGCCCACCGGTAGACTCTGATCAACCACGGCGCCCCGGACGAGCGCCAAACCACGGCACCAAGCGTCTGCGAGACGATCCGTTACGGTTTTCCTCACCTCAATCTGAGCCAGCTACAGTGACACGGCCTTCGACACCAGCCGTCGGACCGGCGCCCAAGCGTGTCAAACTCACCAACGGTCAGGGTGCCAGAACTAAGCGATCGTAAGTGTTTCTTTTCTTTCTTGCAGCATCGCTCTCAAGCCCTTGGGGGCATAGGCCGATGTCTGTACCCGTGTCGGCGCAACTCTCTTAGCGTCGAGTGGGCAAGCCTTACGTGTTTGCACCAAACAATACCGTTTATCCTATCGAATCACCAGAAGACTAACTATTGTACACACAGGCCAGTCAAAAACCGAGATGCAGGACCTATTGCTGGTGTAGCGTTTACTGGTGGTGGCGGTTCGAGACAGCTGGGGCCTGATGACAATGACCCCGTAAGTGCCACTCAAAATCCCGCAGCATCCAACCACACCATTCCTCTTCCACCGCACAACTCATCAACATCATTTTCTTTTTTCATCTCCCAACACCAATGTTTCTCACTACGAACATAACTCCTCCCAAATTTCCATATTCTCCTCCACTCTCAGTTTTATCTTCGCCTCTAACGGAATGCCAGAACTCGCCACAGTCGGAGAGCGACGACTTCTGCTCTGCGTGTAGAGGTGCTGGCGAGTTTGTCTGCTGCGAAAACTGCCCACGCGTTTTCCACTTGCTATGCTGCGATCCACCGAGGATACAGGTACCTGACGGTGCCTTCTACTGCTACGAATGTAATGCCAAGTTTGGTGCACCCGATGACTCCGAAGAGACACATCCCAGCTTGTGGCCGCTCTTCGATAAGCTGGAGCGCACCAACCCTCGTGCCTTTGCCTTGCCGCAAGACATCCAAAACAATTTCGAGGGTGTTTCTGCGCGTCCTGATGGGTCTTACTTTGAGGAAGTCAAGAAGTTCCCTCTGTAAGTGTGACGCGTTTCATCGCGTGATTTGACACTAACAACGGAAACAGGGCGAAGAACAGTGGATATGGCTACCAGAAGCCAGAATATACCAAGGTCATCGACAACGATCAAAAGGTCATCTTGTGTGTCCAGTGTGGGTTATCGAGCGGTAACAAGCGCCAAATGCTGAAGTGTGACTTCTGTCACGCATACTGGCACTTGGACTGCTGTGACCCCCCACTCGCTAATCCGCCACACATCAGCTTTGATGCATCTCAGCGCGATGCCTGGAAATGCCCCCGACATATTGATCACGATCTTCGTAGTGGTTTGTTGGTGCAGAACGATTTGAGCGCTGATGACCACGATGTTGAGATGAGCAACACTGCGCCGTTTGCCCGGATCACGCGCAGAGTTCGAGTACGCAAACACTCTGAGTATGTCGAGCCAGTGTTCTCACGCGGCATGCGCAACAACGGTTTGATCGAAATCACTAATGATCCGGATGATGACACTGATGGCGAAGGCAACTACGTGTTTGGCGATAATGACTCGAAGGATCTCAGCTCAAAGATCTTCCGTGTGCCAGAGAAGGGGGTCGTCCTCGACTTCATCAGCAAAGTCAAGAGGTATGTACATTCTCATCTTCACGATATTATAGCAGGCACTAATGCATCTTGTAGTGGTCGTGTGATGAAGAACTATGGAGCACCAAAGGCTGTGGAGGCGGCAGCACAACGCAACGCGTCTATGCAAAACTACCTCGCACATTCTATTGAGCAACAGCAAGCAGCACTCACCCTGGCTCAGCTGGCAGGAAAAGAGCCCGAGGTCGACTTGAGCGAGGGCAAAGTTCAGGCGCTCATCTACAGTCTCACCGTAAGACTTCTCCCTGCGCCCCACATGCCTTGTTTTGTGATCAATGGCGCTAACTCACGTGAAACAGTCCGAAGCTCCTCCGAACGTCATCACAGCCATGGCCAACGCAGACCCGCCACCGCCTTCAGAGCAAGAGCGTGCTCAGCTGGAGATGCTTCAGCGCCTTATCCAGCGCCGACTTGGAGCTTGAGCGCTGCTTCAACAACAGCGGTTTGCAGCCTTAATCCGGTCTAGTTGTAGTGACACCGCCAAGCAACCCTGGATACGAAGCACGCCATGTACATCATCCAGGACTCTTATCCATCTACAGTCATCTCAAATGTCCTTGTCAAGGTAGCGTATCGTCAGCAGATTGGCTGTGCCGAGCCGTCACTCAGCTTAGCCTCATTTGCCTGACTTGGAAGTTCGAACACGACACCCTGTTCGTCCAATGGACGCGCGGCACGGTCCTCGTTCGACACGTCAACACCTCTCGTCCCTTTCCGAACCGAAAAAAGCTCTTTGTTTGCCTTGTGTATGTTTTCCTCAACCTGGGTCGGCTCTTTTTTTTTCTTCCTCTCTCTGCTACAGTACGATGATATGCGCAACTTAGCGCTTTACTTTTCCCATACGGACTTTTTTCCCGGTACAAATAGCGCACCCAACTGCCTTAGAGCCTAACATCTTTTTCGCAGAACGGGGGAAGCTTTTGAACGCTGTACCACAAATGCATAGCGTAGGAGTTTTGATTCGAGGGGGAAGGGGGCCAATGTTTGTTTTTTGATATATTTTTAGTCTATTTCGGGAGGGGAGTGAGTGAAGGGAGACTGGGGTGTTTAGTGCTCTGTCACTTCCTTTTGTCTCTCTCTATACATCTCTCTCTCGTTTTCTGTCTGGCGTTTGGCTCCAACCGAGCAAAGCAAGTTTGGGGGAGGGAACTGCCGGTAATAGGCAAACTACTGCTACTACTCTACTTGCGAAGCTTGAATATCAAACTTCGTCTTCTTTTTTTTTGGTGCGGGAGGAGGAGGATGGGGAGGACGGGAAGGAGACATACTGATGGATATCTTAGAAAAGGTTTATCTAGGCTTTTCTTATGAATTGGTGCTGCGAATGGCAGAATGGGTCGGCCCTGGACCATTTTACATACATACAATATGTGCCTTCGTGCCCCTCCAACTTTGATTGCATGATATGTGGTGGTTATCCTTATTACCCGTGATGAGGCTGTTCGACTGTCGATCAGGGGTGGTCAAGACCAAAAAAAAGGTGGGCCGTCCGACGGGGTTTCACTGGGTTCATCGCAAAGCCTGACACGTTGCCATGCATCCCGTGACACTACGGGGCGTGGGAAAGGCTTTAGGCATCCATGAAGAGGAAATCAATAAGAACCAAGGAATACACATGCTGAACATGTTGACTGGGTGCTATGATTCAACTATATGATTCGTCCGTCGACGCTGCCTAGTGTGACGTAGGACAAGGGATTTGCTGGCGAAAAGAAGGGCAAGGCAACAGGAAGCATGGGATTGCTGCAAATCATATCACACCACTCGACCCTTTTTGGACTGGGATCCTAAAATTCTTGGCATATAGGAATCAGGCAGGTACGTAAGACGTTCAAGGGAAAGAGAGAGATAAAAAAAACTTGATAACAAAAGATAGCTTAAGGCTTGCAGCGGCCGAAGTAGCGTGGGTACAGGCAGCAGTCGCGGACAGTGTGTTGCTTGCATAGCCAGGCGAGGAAGCGTTCGAGACCGAGACCATAACCGCCGTGGGGAGAAGAGCCGTACCTGAGAAGGAAAGGTTGTTAGTAAAATGCTGAGTAACTTGAACGGGTGCAAGACTTACTTCCTCTGGTCAGTGTACCAGTAGTATGCCGCAGGATCAATCTGCTCCCTGGCGAACGCAGCCATCAACTCATCGTAGTTGTCCATCCTCATGCTACCTCCGACAATCTCACCAACACCGGGCATCAGGCAATCCACACTCTCTGTTACCCTTGGGTCTTCCTTGTCCTTCAGCATGTAAAAGGCCTTGATCTCCGTAGGGAAATGTGTCAGGAAGATGGGCCTGTTGATGATATCTGTCATCCTACGCTCTGCAGCTTCAGCGATATCGTCGCCAAACTTGTGGGGCTCGCCATCTTCGTTGGGGATGTTGTGCTCAACGAGCCAATCGATAGCTTCTTGATACTTCATGCGCTTGAATGGGCGCTCGGGGACCTTGAACTCGGGGTTGAGGTCCATGATGTATTGCTTGACAACGGGGTCGGCCATTGTGACGTCTAGAACACGGCACATGACCTCCTCGAGATGGGTGAGCAGATCGTCAAAGTTGATGTAGTCGAGTTCGGCCTCAATGTGCGTGTACTCGGCCAAATGACGACGGGTCAATGACTTTTCAGCACGGAAGGACTTTTCAATGCAGTACACGTCTCCCATTGATGGCAAGCATGTCTCAAGGTATAGCTGAGAAGATTGGGTAAGGTAGGCCTCCTCATTATAGTAGCCGAACTTGAAGAGCGTGGCACCACCCTCGACCTGGGTCTGGACAAGCGCTGGCGGACTGACCTTGCGTAGTCGAAGTTCTTTGTAGACCTGGTTGAATGCAAATTCGACCGCATCACGGACAATCATGACCTTGGATGCAGTCTCTCCACGTAGAGTGAGATGTCGCAGATCCAGCAAGGTCGCGTGCTCAGTGTCCTTTGATACCCTGTTGGTAATGGCGTCGTCGCCACCAGCTGCCTTCCAGCCATCGTGGATCTTGTAGTAGTCGGCGTGTAGTTCGCGGTTGTTGGGAGCGTGGGCACCAGCGGGGATCTGCCTCAACTCTCCAAGAATCTCCATGCTGGTTTCGCGAGTCAAGGTGAGGGCATCATAGGTCTTTGCAAGGTTACCAGTGAAGATGACCTGCATGTAGCCGTAACCATCTCTTAAGGTGACGAACATAACATCCTTTTGTCTTCGCTCACGGTGTACGCGACCGAACACTCGTACTCGTGTACCTTTTGTATCCTTGCCGTCTCCTAGCGTGATCTTCTTTGGGTCGGTGTCGTCGAGCTTGATCTTGATTGCCTCTGGAAGACTCTTGTCCTCTTCTATGACGACCTTCTTGGCCTCATCAAGGACCTTGTTGCGGTCTGCCTCCTCCTTCGAGCGCTGCGCAAGCAGTCCCTGCTCCTTCTCAGCCTTCTTCTTCTGCGCCTTTGCATAGTTGACCGCCTTCTTCATGGCCGACTTGGCAACATCCTTCCACTCTAACCTCGAGGAAGCATCTGCACCCTCTGGGACCTCTCCAGTAACACTCTTTCGGGTAAGGAACTTGGGAGTCTCGCCGCGAGTCAGGACAGCGTATCCGAGGGATTTGTAGGGCGATGACTCGTCGCCCGTCTGTTCTGCGATATCCTGACCGACATCCTCGTCGATGTAATAGGTAGGCTGGGCCATGGTGGCGGCAATTGATGTGCAGACGTCTTTTGGGGGCGTTGCGCAGATTGTCTGCTGTTGTCGGAATTATATTGAGTGGGCGCGGGGTGACTCAAATGGACCCCTCCACAGGCTCCGTGCACAGTCTAGGTACGTGAAGCACTATATGCGTCGATAAGGCCAATCACCCAATTTTCCTTATCAATCGAGGCTCGTGTTGACAGACTAGGATAATGCATTGTGTTTTATATGTGCAGTTGATTGCTTTTTGTAAAAAGATACCTGTTTTAATTTGACCTGAGAGGTGCGTCTTGTTGACTTTAGCTGCATGCCAACACTGTTTTGATGACGACGGCCTTCCAAGAACTAGAGTTCTGATGTTTCAAAAATCAAGTTCACTTAATTCGCAACATGAAAATGGTCGGTAACCTTTGTTGAGTAGACATTTGAACCCACTCTCGATGGTAGTAAAGGCGGCTCTAGTTCCGCGCTGACAAACTAAGCAATTGATTCGGTAATTGAACAGCACTAAATGAAGGGTCATATAAACTACAATGTAACATATAGCTATTATCATCCATTCCAACTAAAAATAATCTCTTTCTGACTACATAACATAAATATGGCTGATCCTAGTTTATACAAATACGAATCCCCTCTTAAAGGCTACGAAAACTGTGAGCCATTACCCAAGTAGGTCATATCTTCCATATTGCTAGTGTTTACGACTCCAAATCTTGCGATACGAATGTGATTGGAAAATGCTGATACTATCACAGCGAAAAAGCCGAAGATGGGAAATCCTACGTAAACCCGCCAGCTGAGAAGGCAAGCGATGCCTACAATTCATTCGTAGCCCCTATTACGAATGGCATCCGTGGAGGTTTTGAGTGAGTACGACTAGCTCAAATAATCTGTTAGACAACAACTGATGTTTTCAGTGTTCACATCTACTATCTTCAGAGCGATGAGGAAGAAACAAAGTTTGCCAATGAGCTTTGGGAGCGTATACGTCGCGAATGTATGGTAACATCCTCCCTTAATCCAGTTTTTTTCTAACCAAAACAGTCCCCGAGTTGCGCATATACCGAGTGTGGGATCGACCAATTGGACCCCATCCTCTTGCCATGTTCGAGGTCAACATTTTCACCCCACGTAAGCAATGGCTTGTTGGATTAGAAGCTGGAGCCTTCACTAACGATTATTAGAGCAATTTGGTGCATTTATTCCTTGGCTAGTAATCAACAGAGGTCCGCTTTCAGCACTGATTCATCCTAACACTGATGAGGAAGAGAGGGATCATACACAGCGTGCAACATGGATGGGACAGCCGCTACCTCTCAATTTGAAAATGTTCAAGAAGAAAGCAGCATCGAAGGTCTAGTTTTCTATGATTCAGCGAAAACGTGTGAGGCATGAAAGCGCGTGCTTGAAGTGTAATGTAACTTGTTAAGATTATGTCTGTGACAGACGCGATAAATCGGCATCTTAAGCAATTCCTGTTACGGCCCATACTTTGATGCACATTCTCTCTCAACCCCGTAGCTTGGATGCCTGTCGAACAGCTCTTCGTATGGCGTCTTTCGAATTATTGATGATCCCTGTCTCCATGTCTGACCTCAATGATGACGCCGTTTATGAACATGCTGAACCGCATTCTTGTGTGGTGCATGAGCAAGTAAGACATTATCGCACTTATGCCTTTGTCTCCACCTTCTTCTTTTTCTTGGTCTTCTTCGCCTTCTTCTTGTCTCGCTTCTTCAATCCACTCATGCCTGCCTTGCATGCCTCAGCATATCGCGCATAGAATCCGTCCAAGTCTTCCGGTTTTACCACTGTGCTCAACTCTATTTTGTCGACGTTTTTCCTGTCTGTCCCTGCTTTCTTGTCGCTCTTGTTGTTGTGCGCGCGGATCAAAACAGGCAGCGAGTCTTCAGGATGGGTGTCCCATAACGGATCATCGGAAATCTTGTTGGCTGGAGGTGGGGTGGCAGTGGTACCGAATGTCATGCGCTTCTGTACAAGGTAGACGCTGCCGTGGCCTTTTGTTCGTGTGTATTCGAAGAGGTTGGCGAGTTTTGCAAAGAACTGAGCAAGTGTTAGAATAGAGAGGATGATTGCATGCATGTAATATCCCACACCTCATCGTTGCTCAAATGTTCTCGCCCCATTGTGAATGTTGTGTGCTATATTAGTCGCGCCATGGAGGTGGTAGGTTGCATAGTGGGATGCCTGCCGTCAGTGCGAGGCGGAGACGCGGGGAAATCTCACCTAAACTCCGACCCTCGAACTTTTTTGCGACAACCAACTGCCTCAGACACCACAACATGCGCAAAACCTTCGGAGGGCCAAAATTGCCCGTAGAGCTACGGAATCAACTCGGAGGTAATACTAGACCACAGCTGGGCATATTTTCAGCACTGAGAACTTGCAGATCCAGCAAACAACAAGCGGCGCAACGGACCGCGTAATGGGCCACTGAATCGCAAAGACAGGCGCAAAGCCGATCGCGTAGAGAAGAAGCGACAGAACAAGCAAGGCAGAAAGCCTGCGCCAACACATCCACACAATGGCCGAGGACCGCGTCGTGAGGCGGAATCGGATGATGAGGACGAGGAAGAGGAGATAGATTGGGACAACATCGAATCAGACGCTACACCACCGCCGGTGGAGAAGAAGGAGCCGCAAAAGCCTCTGAAAGGCATACTCAAGACAAAGCCCTCCAAGTTAGAAGAAGCATCGCCTCCGCCTGCGAAAGTATCACGCGCCACAAGAGACAGACTAGCCCAGGACGATGCTGAAATTGCTGCACTGGAAAAAAGATTAGGTGTGAAGGGCAAGAAGAAATCTAAGGGAGCAGATGACGGTCTCGATGACCTGTTTGAGGGCCTTGGAGATCTTGGAGACTTTAGCGACGAAGAAGGTGGTCAGCCTTCAAAGCGTAAAAGGGATGAAGATGACGACTGGCTTGCGAGTAAGAGGCGGAAGGCCCTAGGCCAGGAGCCGGATGAAGAAGAAAATGACGACTCAGAGGCGTCCGAGTCTGACGAAGACTTGGACCTAGAAGAGGCAGACTTTGATGACGAAGACGAGACAGACTACGACGAGGAAAGCGATTTGGGCTCCGAGGACGACAATGCCGAAGAGGCTGAGCCAGAACAACCGAAGAAACGAGAAAATCCATACGTTGCTCCTGTAGCATCGGATGCCCAGCCGACAAAATATGTACCACCTGCGCTCAGAGCACCACCTTCATCGGATTCAGAGGCTTTGCTACGTCTTCGAAGGCAGGTACAAGGTCTTTTCAACCGTCTTTCAGAAGCCAACATACTCTCCATCTTACGCGAAATCGAGACTATCTACCAGAACAACCCCCGTGGATACGTCAACAACACACTGGTCGATCTATTGATTGGAATGCTATCAGATCCCACCGCTCTCCTGGATACTTTCTTGAACTTGCACGCTGGTTTTATCGCTGCGATCTACAAAATTATTGGACCAGACTTCGGCGCACAGATGGTAGAGCGGATTGTTGCCGAAGTTGACAGACACTATCAGGCGAATAAAGACGGTTCTGGAAAGCAGACGTCGAATCTCATATCGGTGGTGGCAGAGCTGTATACGTTCCAAGTCATTGGCAGCAACATTGTATTCGATTACATTCGATTCTTTCTCGACGAACTTACCGAAATCAACACCGAACTTCTGTTGAGAATAGTCCGGGCAGCTGGTCCACAGCTACGCCAAGACGACCCGACCTCTCTCAAGGACATTGTTGTTCTTCTCCAGAAATCTGTCGCCAAGGTTGGCCAGAGCAACTTGCCAGTTCGCACCAAGTTCATGATTGAAACAATCAACGACCTCAAGAACAACAAGATGAAAACTGGTATCGCTTCCTCAGCAATTTCGAGAGAGCATACAACCCGGATGAAGAAGCAGCTTGGTACGCTGAACTCACGGAATCTCAAGGCGACTGAACCACTACGGGTTGGTCTGAAGGATATCAGAGATACTGAGAAGAGAGGCAAGTGGTGGCTTGTCGGAGCGAGTTGGCGCAATCAGCCAGGAAACGAGGAGCCGGCCGAGGATAACAGGAAAGTTGAGCAGACCACGACACATATCGATGACGAGGGCGACGAAAGTGAAGTTGATCTTGTGCAGCTTGCTCGTGAACACCGTATGAACACAGACATTCGGCGGGCCATATTCATCTCTATCATGTCTGCCAGCGACTTCAAGGATGCACAAATACGATTGAACAAACTCAATCTCAAAAAGTCTCAAGAAGCAGAGATACCACGAGTCGTTGTTCATTGTGCGGGCGCTGAGAAGATCTACAACCCTTACTACACTGTACTTGCGCGTAAGATTTGCTCCGACCACAAGACCCGCAAGAGCTTTCAATTCGCGCTTTGGGATATTTTCAAGAGTTTAGGGGAGAGGCAAGATGGCGCGGACGACTCTGACGATGATGATGACGAAACGGACACTGACACGTCCCTTCGAAAGCTTGTCAATCAGGGCAAGCTATATGGCACGTTGATTGGCCGCAAAGCCATGCCAATTACCAGTCTTAAGAACCTCAACTTCCCTTACTTGCAACCGAAAACTAAGACTTTTGTTGAAGTCTTGCTTGTTACTACCATTCTGGAGGCATTGAAGACATCCAAAACAAAAGACAAGCGTGACGAACGGGCTGTCCGAGAGGTATTTGTAGAGGCAGATCAAGCACCAGAAATGATTGCCGGTTTGCAATTCTTCTTGAAAAAGACAGTTAGCAAGACGGAGATTGTCGAGGAAGCGGAAAAGGAAACGGTGCGGTGGGCGTGCAAGTCCGTCATGGACATGCTGACTAGAGTGTTGGCTACTACCACATTGGCAGAAGACTGAGCGTTTGACTAGAATACCCTTCTGTTGTGTGTTTAATAATAGAGTTATAAAAGAACCAATGCAGTATGGTGCCAGGAGGCGATGTTGAACATGAGGCACTTTGTCATCTTGGCGCCACCCTTGACCCTACGGAAGCCGCATAGGCCTTCCCAGCCGAGCTCCGCAAAAAGCTCAACCACATCTGCCATCCCACGCCCCATCCATTGACGCCTGTCATCCCAGCCGTATACCTCACGGCTTCTTTTGGTTGTGTTCCCTCCGGCCATCTTCACCATGTTCCGCTCACTGGCACCCCGCGCCGCTCAACGGGCGTCGCGACCCGTCACCCGAAGCACATTCTGCGCATCCAACATTTACTTCCAGAACCGGTTACGACGTGGATATGCGTCGGAAGCTGGTGAGTCGCATCGCTGTGCGGCATTGGTTTGGTGCATCTGCTGACCGCTGGACAGAGGAGAAGGACCTAGTCATCATCGGCGGTGGTGTTGCGGGATATGTCGCAGCTATCAAGGCTGGACAGGCGGGCATGAAGGTTAGCAAGACACATCCGGACAATGGCAAGATCACAAGGTTGACGCAAGCGGACAGGTCACTTGCATCGAAAAGCGTGGTTCCCTGGGTGGAACCTGCTTGAACGTCGGCTGCATCCCCTCCAAGTCCCTCCTCAATAACTCGCATCTCTACCACCAGATCCTCCACGACACCAAGGGCCGCGGAATCGAGGTCGGCGATGTCAAGCTCAACCTTCCCGCCATGATGAAGGCCAAGGAGAGCTCTGTTTCGGGTCTCACAAAGGGAATTGAATTCCTTTTCAAGAAGAACAACGTCGAGTACATCAAGGGTACTGGTGCGTTCCAGGACGAGCACACCATTGCCGTCAACCTTACTGAGGGTGGCGAGACTACTGTCCGCGGAAAGAACATCCTCATTGCCACTGGTTCTGAGGCCACTCCTTTCCCGGGCTTGACCATCGACGAGCAGAAGGTTATCACAAGCACCGGCGCCATTGCGCTCCAGGAAGTGCCCAAGAAGATGACCGTCATCGGTGGTGGTATCATCGGACTTGAGATGGTAAGGAAATATCCAGTTGTTCTTTTGGTAGACTATACTAACCACACATAGGCCTCCGTCTGGTCGCGTCTTGGCTCTGAGGTTACCGTTGTTGAGTTCTTGGGTCAGATTGGTGGCCCTGGCATGGACAACGAAATTGCGAAGCAGACCCAGAAGATCCTTCAAAAGCAGGGCTTGAAATTTAAGCTCAACACAAAGGTTACCGCTGGTGAGGTTCACAGCGCTGGTGTCAACGTCAGCGTTGAGGCCGCAAAGGGCGGAAAGGAGGAGACTGTGAGTCGATTTTGAGCAACACTAGCTGATTGTAGTGCTAACATGCCTAGCTCGATGCGGACTGCGTCCTTGTTGCTATTGGTCGCCGTCCATACACCTCCGGTCTCGGTCTTGACAACATCAGTCTCGAGACTGATGAGAGAGGCCGCCTGATCATTGACCAGGAGTACCGCACCAAGATCCCCCACATTCGCGCCATCGGAGACTGCACTTTCGGCCCTATGCTTGCCCACAAGGCTGAGGAAGAGGCTGTCGCTGCCATTGAGTACATCCACAAGGGCCACGGCCACGTCAACTACGGCGCCATTCCTTCCGTTATGTACACCCACCCTGAGGTTGCTTGGGTTGGCCAGAACGAGCAGGAACTCAAGGAGGCTGGCATCAAGTACAAGACTGGAACCTTCCCTTTCACTGCCAACTCAAGAGCCAAGACCAACCTCGACACTGAAGGTATGGTCAAGTTCCTATCAGATGCTCAGACCGACCGGATATTGGGTATTCACATCATTGGTCCCAACGCTGGTGAGATGATTGCAGAGGGTACGCTTGCACTGGAATACGGCGCTAGCTCTGAGGGTAAGTTGAATCAGATCAAAAATGTTCTTGAATTAGCACTAACGATTATGCAGATGTTGCGCGCACATGTCACGCTCATCCCACTCTTGCTGAGGCATTCAAGGAGGCTGCCATGGCCACCTACGACAAGGCTGTTCACTACTAGATTCCCCAATTTCGGTCAGGCTTTTCTTTTGTGCATCAGCGACATGACCTTCGAGCTCTCAAACATGCGAGCGCGGAGTTGTGAACGATATTTGTAGAATATATCTGATGCGTCATGCTCGCCAATTAAATGCTAGTGAATGATGTGGAGCCGGTAGGGCTGAGATACCCCTGCTAGCGGCGTCTTGTCGCGTGCACGTAACGCGTACCGCGA